AGGGGAAAGGGCAGTAAGAAGATCAAAGATGTGCCGTGTACATGTAAAACTACCTACAATGAACGGAATTATATGTCACAAACATAAACTAAAAATAATAATGAGGGTAAGTGAAGGGATCTAGAGACAGAGGAAGGGGTGGGGTAGAAGGAGAAGGAGAATAAAAAAAATCAAGGTATGTTAAAAGTAAACGTAAAAAAAGAAAAAAGTAAATGCACCTACTCCCTAAGATGAATGTAAGCATCACGCAATGTGAGCATGTACTAACAAAAACACTTTAAAAAATAAACTAGTGTTATATGCATCAACCTAGATACTATAGATGTAATGCTGGTTAAAACGAACAGCTGCATAAGAAAAACTATATAAGTCATTTGCAAAAATATAAGCAGAAATATACACAAAATGAATATAGAGTACATATATACGTATATATCTCATGTAAAAGTACATAAAAGGTTACATGAGAATGAGAAACACCGAATGAGGATAACAGTTAAAAGATTTCAGCTCTGTCAGTACCATTTTATTTCTTCATCTAGGCCAGTGGCAGCGAACCCACGGCACACATGCAGCAGCGGACTGTTGAGATCATTGAAAGCTCTACAAGGTTCACCACCACTGACCTAAGTGGTATTCATTATATGTCTCTTTATAGCTTTTTTTATGTTCAAACTATTTCATAATAAATGCTTTAAAAGTCGAGAGCCATCTGTCCAAAGGTTAATCCTGTACTCACCCCGGTAACCAACTCCTGCCACTTCTATCAGCTAAGCAAAGCTCCCACTGTGCTTCTCAAAAAGATAACAGTTCTACATGGGGAAGAGCCCTTGCAAGAACAAAAGCAAATTCGTCCTTTTTATGTATCTGAATCTCATCTGAGTGATATATTTGCCCTCCTCTTCTTCACATAGCCACTAAGAAATCATCCTGGCCCCTTCCTTTTTGTGTGCTGTACTACACGCATACCACACCCATGTTGAGGTCTTCCAAATACCTGCTAAGCACAAAGCTCTGGGCTGCAAAGATAAACAAGGACAGTGGCAGACTGGCATGTCTCACCTTATGTGGGAGACAGGCCTCGGTAACTGTCTTAGTTATTTTTCTCTCATTGCTGAGACAAAATACCCAACACCCAAAATTAAGGAAGGAAAGGTTGATTGAGCATATAGTTCCTGAAGGTTTTAGTCCGTAATCAGCTGATTCCAAAGCAGGGTGATGTGGCACAGAGGCAACTGTTCAAGGCGGCAGAAGACAGTAAAAGCAACAAGAGCAAAAATGAGGGGAGCCTCTTTTCCTCCCTTTTATTGCATGTAGGCTACCTGTCCTTTGCTGGGTGTAGCAGTCACACCATCTCTCTGCCCTGAGTCTCTTTCACAGACTCAGGATGTGTACAAAGTGAGATCCTTGGGCCCCTGCTAAAGCAGTTAAACTTCTAAACTTCTCAAGTTGACACAATGAACAACATCCTAGAGCAGTAAGGGCATGTCCTCTACACTCTAGGAGGTGGAACTGCTGAGTTACTTAGTTTATCTTCTAGACTTCTCAGGTTGACACAATGTAGCAACCATAACAGTAACACAAAAGCAGGGGGAACTTAGAGCCAAGCTCAGGGTACTATGGGAGGTAGGGCCAACTCCAAGAGAGCTTCTGGGAGGAGGGATTTCCAGGGTTTGCTTTAGAGAGCTGTTTTCTGCAGACTCACACACAGAGGGGAGCAGATTAGCAGCAGAGGAAGAGATAGGGTTACTGCACAGCCACACCCTGCCTTATCTCTGCAGCACCCCTGAGTGCCCAGTCGCCCAGACAAGGATGGGGCACACTGTGGGTCACAAAGTTAGGGAGAGAGGCACACTCAGCCTGATCAGATCATAAAAGATTTATACACCATGCTAAGGGACTTGGACTGAGGATTAAATGCTTTCAAACCAAGGAAGAGAGGGGGGTCGGGGATATAGCTCAGTGGCATAAGCGCCTGCCTGGCAAGCGCAAGGTCATGAGTTCGATCCCTGGTACCACAAAAACAAAAAAAAAAAAAAAAAACCAGGAAGAGCCTCAGGAGCCAAGTGGGGCCCAGACAGCCAGACCTTCCCAGAGGAAGGGATAAGAACACTATGTTCTGGGGACAGACAAAAAAAGGAGTGAAAACACCTTTTCTGCAGAGGGAGCACTGAATGCTTGGGACAGAGAGCCACCTTTAGGATCCAGAAAGTAGTAAGTTAGGTCTGGCTAAGGAACAGAATGTGCATAAAGAGTTACCAGGGACAAGGCTAAAGGAGAAAGGAACAGATAACTGCGTGGTTCTCGGTCCCAGTGCACTGCAGAAAAGAACCCGGTCAGTACAGTGCAGTGCTGAAAACACCCTACACGCTTACATCCCTGCTGATCTGCACATCAGCACCCAGAAATATTTTGTGACATATAACCTAAGCCTTCCCTCAGCGTAATCGCTGTGGCTAAGTCCAGATCCGAGAGCTCATCTGACCAGCCTCTTCTGTTAATGCCACCGAACCACCTGACGCAAGCTCCCACTATCCGGTTGTTGGAGCTAAATAAGACAATTCCACCTTGCTTCACATTTTGCTTGCACTCCTCTAAACTCACTGCAACGTGCCTTAGCAAACGCTGCCACACCTCAAGATGGACCATCGTCATTTCTCCTCCGGGAGTGTACAATAAAGGAGTCACACACTGAATGCCTGGCAATAATGACCAGTGTAGCAGGCAACAGGGGAAGGTAAAGAAATAAGTCCTGGATGCAAACAGGACCAACTCAATGCTGAAGCCAGCAGTGGGCTGCAGAGAACATTCAGAAAAAAAAAAAAAAACAACAACAACAAACCAGAGCACACTGGGGAGAAAGGAAAGGAGGACCGAAAGGGAAACTATTCCTCTTTGGAGGTAAAAGAAACAAAAGGCTTCGTTGCTGAGTGCCCACAAGGGGCCAAGCAGTTTACTAAATGCTAATCCTCCTGCTCAGAAAGGGACTGGAAAAAGGACCACGCTGGTATTTTTCTGATAAAAAATCAATATAGGCTCTTCTGACAGAAAGCGAGTAACAGGCAGCCTTCTGATTTAAAGCTGAGGGAGAGATATACATCCGGATACCCACATACGAGCCACCCCACTTCTGTCTCCCTTGGTGAGAGTTATTAGACAGTAGTGCACCTATCAATTAGGCAATGAGCTGAAAGAGAAAAAGAGTCTGATCTGTATGTGGAGACTGGAGCCAGTCCCCCAGCACGGCAAGCCTGTGGTTGAGGGACTCTGACTTTACTGCGGACAGTGTGATGTGACTATATCAGCTCTTTAGCAGCCTCCCGGTCCCACAGATGCATACAAAGACCAGGACACAAAGCCTCTGGACTTTTCTCAGATGAACTGATACCAAATTGGGCATCACTATGACTTGCCATTTGCAACTGCATTTGCAAAATAAATTTACTTGTCCAAGGTAACTTTGCCTGGCTAGTTTCAAGCTCATGTTCCAGACTCAGTTCATTAACTCGTTTAATAACCATGTAGTAGGAGAAGATCGACCAACTGCCATTAAACTAACAGTCAAACAAATGCCTAAAGCTCCCAAGGCTGGCAGCCAAGAGAAAAACCTCTCCATGGAAAGGAGATGCTGAACCATACAGGGTGTTATAACTGAGAAAACAAAAAGCAATGAACAGATGTGGCCTCTTAAATACAGCTGTTCTCAGAGCCTGTGGACCCCTGCAGACCCCTGTGGCTCCAGATGCAGCTCCCCACCATCGGTCCTGCAGGGCAGGATAGGGCTGCTCTCCTGCATGTCTGCATAATTTCAGAATCCAAGCCCAGGGAGGAAAGGCCGAGAAAGGAAAGTGTGTCTCTCATCTGAAGCGCATAGTCCAGGTCTCTGTGACCTACCCTGGGATGAAGGCCAATGACAAAGCACACCATCCTGCCCACGGCGGTGTGGCATTAACTCTCCATCAGCACATCGGGACATGTTTCCTTCCCGGGGCACTGAGAAGGACTCACCCACAGTGCTCGAGTTGTGTAGGTGAGAGGAGACATGCTTCAAAAGGCATACAAACAAGTATGCGCACGGCTGCAACAGAAGATGTGTTTCAAAGGAGGAAAGAGCAGCTTCCAAGGGCCCCTGGAACGAGTCTGATGGGTCAGATTGCCCAGCTGACTCCTGAAGGGTGGGTAGGTGTCTATGGTCAAGGGGTGGGGAGCCCAGCTCTAGGAAGAGCACAGTTTGTCCTTTGCTCCCACTAAGCATTCGGATATCATTTGATTGTCCCCTACAAAGGTTTATGTGTCGGAGGCTCAGGCCTCAGTGCATGCTGGGAGGTGGTGGGACCTTTCAGAAGTAGGGCTTAGTGGCGGGGCTCGGGTCACTGAGGGCACTGTCTGCAGAAGAGATTCAAGGGCTTTTCACGGGACCTTGGCTAGGGTTCCCTCGAGTGAACTCTTCTAACCCCTGAGCCTGAACACTGAACCTCTCTGATTTTGTACTTTACCATGTGATCTCACCGTCTCACATACATTCCTACCATGATGTCCTCGGCCATGGTGTTACACAGCCAGAAATGGAACGATGAGGCCTCCTGATTTGGGAGCTAAATAAACTCACTTTCTTTGTAAGTACTCAGCTTCTGGTATTTTGCTGTACAGTCTAAAAATGGGTTCCTTCTGGCCATTATCACAAGGACTGTGTCAGACCCATCTCTATCCTCTATAGTATCTACCTAGCATGGTACCACACCCTCAGTGAATGGTGGCTGAGGAATTAAATCCAGCATATTAGCTGCTTCTTGTAACATGTATCACACGCCAACATGCCAGCCTGCAAAGGTGTTTCCCTAGGTCTTGATGTTAATGTTGGGCTGGCTCCAAAACAGAGAATTTTGAAAAGAGAATTTACCCCATAAATAAAATCAGAAAGAAAAATGCACTTCATTGAAATACAATTTACAACAAATACACCCAAATATACACTCTTCAGTTAAAAGATCATTACTTACTTATGTCATTTTTTCTTGATATAACACTTTTCTCCAAATCCTGCATTGGAAATGAAAAAGAAAAAGAAAAATCATATCACATAACAAAGCGAGCAACACAGTGAATAAATATGCACAGAATGCATTAACACTTAGGGAGACTTGAAGATGGATGCCTAGAAATAACTTCCTAAAGAAATTATTCCTCAAAAAATTCAAACTAGAAATTCTATTCAAATTAGCATTCCCCTTCTAGGTAAGTCTTCCTGAAAGAGTTAAAGACATTACAGTGATACATGCATATCCATATTATAGCTGTATAACTCATAATAGCTAAATCTTGTTAAGTGGCCTCCATGTCTCTCCACAGTGAAAAGGATAAAGAAAATGTGGTATTTATACACAACAGAGTATTACTTTCCCATAAAGAAGGATACATGTGAGTCATTTATAGGAAAATGGATGTACCTTGAGACCATAACATTAAGTAAAATAAGTCAGACACAGAAAGAAGAGTATCAGCTGAGCATGGTGGCACACACCTGTAGTCCCAGCACTCAAAAAGCTGAGACAGGAAGGCTGCCAAGAGTTCAAGGCCAACTTTGGCTACAAAGTGAATTCAAGACCACCTTGGACTACAGAGCAAGACCCTGTCTCAAACAACCAAAAAAAAGTAGAATATCATGTGTTTTCTCTTATGTACAAAACCTAAACTACACATGAATAAAGGAGAGAAACGCTAGGAAATAAAGACATGGCGGAGATGAGAAAAGGGTCAGAGGAGCAGAGTTGTCAGGAAGAGAGAGTAAAGGGATCAAAATGATCAAGATATGCTATAAGTACTACTTTCCCCCAAAACCAACATGACTATTATGTACTGCAAACATACATTAATAAAATTAAATTTTAAAAAGAATGTTAGCACTCTGTTCTCTCCTTCCTGCAAAGCAGCTCCAGGAATCTGCTCAGGGGCTCAGAAAAGGTCTGTCGATGATGGTTTGCAGGTATCTCCCCAAACCCTTGTGTTGAAAACTTCACCTCCATGTGAGAGTGCTTAGAGTTGGAATCTTTAAGAGATAAGATCACAAGGGCTCTGCCCCCAGGAGTGGGTTACTGTGGGAGGAGGTGTACTATCAAGACCATGGGCTTCTTATATGTTCAAGGTGAGCCGTCTCTTGCACATACTGGACTCTTGCTCTTTGCCTTCTGCCATGGGATGACTTTAGCAAAAAAGCCCTTGTCGGATGCTGGCCTCTCCCTCTGGGACCCTCTAGCCTCCAAAATTACAATAAACCTCATAAATTTAAATGACCCAGCCTCAGGTATCCTGTTACAGCAGCATACGTAGTCACTAAAACATGGGCACAAAATGGGTGCCTCACAGCTGGTGGGCTCCTGGGGCAGCAATCTGGACCCAGGCAGATTCTGACCTTATGTAACTGAAGAAGTCTCAAACTTTCCTGGCAAGTGCAAGGTGTGAGCAACTAAATCTGCCATTTCCATTGTCTCTTCTGCAGACCAGGAAGGAGTTTTCTTCCTAATTGTCCTTTTCTATTTTCAACAGCCATATGCTATCATTACGACAACTGGACAGTAGCAAATATCCTTCAACTTTCTTCACACACTGCAATAAGCAGTGTGGTTCTAAGCCTTTACCAACAAAACTGGGAACAGCTTGAAAGACACAGCCCCAAAGGGATAGGTCCTCCAAGAATGCCAAAAGGACCATGACAACAGACAGTGAGGAAGAGCTAAACAAAGAGAATAACCACTTAGGCTGGCGTTTTATGAAATTATCTTTGTCTTAAAAGTGGATATCTCACTGAGTCCAGAAGAATCCATAATTAGATGCTGATTTGTTGGCTTGCAAGATCAAATGATGCTTCACTTAATTCTGACGAAATGTAACTTTTGGAAGAACCCACTGAAAACAGACTAGAAAGCCCAAACTTTGCTTAATGTGCTGAGCCCAAGCCAGGTTAGCATCATCAGGTAGTGTGAGGGGACTCCTAGTAACACCTACGCCCTAACTGCCGCACGGACTTGGAGAACCACCTGCTCTTGGGGCAGGAGTGCTGCTCTCAGCATGAAGGAGCACCGGCTCCCCGCCATCAACTTACTGCCTGGGAGGCCGCAGATTCTGCTCCAGGAAAGGCCAACAGGGAAAATAGAACGTTTAGCTCAGAAACTGGAGATGGTTAAATCCACTATGCTCTCCCTTTAAAAAGAAGGCAATCCTTTATCTCAGAAAGATGAAGGATTTTCCCAGGGCACAATAGTCACCAACCATAAAATCAAGATTAAAGTCTTCCAGTCCATTGCACTGCTACTTCTCTACACCACAGTGCTAATACACACCCAGCCTCCCAGGAGGTGTTCTTCCGATGTAAATATATTGTGAGAATAAACTAAAAGTAACACCTATAACAAAAAGTGAAAAATATCTGGACCTCAGTGGTTTTAATAACTTAAACAAGCTGGAACAGGAGCTGGACTTTCTTTTAGATATCTCTGTGAAATAAAAGAGAAGCAACCACAGTTATATACCTATTTGTTATTAAGCACCGTCACTCAGGTTGGCTAACACAATAGCCAGGAAATGACGAGCTGTTTCAAATGACTCAATTTGTAAACTGTAAAAATAAATATCCAAGGAACAGTCAAATTAGGTGAACTGAAACAGAACCAGAAGAGTCTTGAGTAATTTCCCCCTTGGAAAAGAAAATTAGACTAAATGAACGAATTGACAGAACATTTAAAATTCTGTCTTCAGCTTCCCTGGTGAACAGGCTTAGTTCTCCCTAAGAAGAAACACATGGTTTGTTTTATTATCTCTGCTGCCACATGCTTCTTACACTGACTATCAATATTAATCAAAATGTGCTCACCGTCAAGGTTGTGTAAGTCAGCTGAACACTCAGATAGCAAGAAAGATTTGTCACTAATGCGTCTACCCCAGAGAGCTCCTACCCTAGCCACAAAGACATATCCAAGTCATTCTTTTACATGGGCTTGTTTTTTTTTAAGCTACAATAGACTTGAACACTTGCAGTCTGAATATGTAATGCTTTATCTGTAAATTCTTCATAAAAAGAAGATTCAACATGCACAAAAGAATTTGTTGTGAAATCTTTACCAAGGAAGACAGGTAAATGTCACCTTCTACTCAGACACCACCAGGACCCTCTAGATTTTGAATAAATTAATCCAGATGTGTCCCCATTAGGGCATGGAGTTGCAAGCTGACCCTGTGTTCTAATTCTGCCTCCTCTACTTACTAGCTCAGGTTTCAGTTTCTTACTTAGAAAACAGGAATAATAATTATGCAACCCATAACACAGGGCTGGGTTATGAGACCATAAGATGCTGAACTCAGTGTGTACACAAAGCAGAAGCAAAATAATTATTGGCCCCTAGTCTTATCATCATCATAATCAACCACTTCTATGCAGTCAACTACCACCATAAGAGAAATTTAACTGACAAAAATAGTGAAGTCTTTCGTTTTGACTTGTTTAGATAGAAAAGATGATTTATGTAACCTATTAAATGCCTAAGACATTTCTTATTATCAGATAAACAACTGATTAGGGGCTGGTACTATCCTAAATTGTGAACATACACGCACACCCACCCACATACACACACACACACACACACACACACACTGAATCTTTCAAATAACCCTTTGAGCTAGGTCTTATTACCCTGAAACAGGCAGCGCTCAGGAGTTCGATGGGTAGGCAAACCCAATGGCAAGCAGTGAGTTGGCACATTATTTGGGGCAGGAACCCAGCCCTGACCAGGACTTACCCGCACCAGACAGAAACTTTGCATAGAAGCTTTCAGTAAGGCAAGCGTGAGGTGAGGTAGACGCTGCCTTGGGATAACAGCAGTGGGGCAGGTCCTGGTCAGCTCTGCCCAAGTGATGAACTGAAAATATGGTCACTCTTCAGAGCCTTAAATTCCATCTCCAGTTCAACATGTTATCCCTTCCTCTCCTCATGCACTGATAGCTACTCTGACTGCGGGACCTACAAACGTCTTTCAAGTGCATTAATATCTAGGTTAATTTCCTTCAAGAGCATTAACACCTTTGCAAGGAAAATGCCAAGAACACACAGGGCTCACCTTATCTATCTCATTCGTTAATGTAATTCTTAAACAAAAATTTAATTCTTTGTTAATAACCTTTAGGTAGCACCTTAATTTTATTATAAATAATCCTCATCATTACCAAACAGAATATAATACACAAGGCTGGGTAACATAAAACAGTACAGGGTGAAAATTAAAGGATTCAGAAAATTTGAACCTTAACTTAATCTTTTAATAACCCCGTGACCTCAGTAAAATCATCTAAGTTCTGTAAGGCTACATGTTCTCTGTGTAACTGGGAATAAATATCTGCTTTGATTAGCGACAGCAATGTTATTGAGAAGACTGAATCAAACGAAATGTGTGAAAATGCTTTATTAGTCATAGAAGGTCTTAAAATCATCAGCAATTATTATTATCAATTCCCCTGTGCAGAAATCCCCTAATATAGTAAAAGAAGAGACAATATTCCACTGATAAAAGAAACACCCTATTAAAAAATGCTTTTATACCAATTGTGGAGTAAAAATGACCTCAACAGAGCCTTAATTAATATGACAAAAGCAAGTCATATTTTAAAGTATTCTTCTCTCTGTGCTCAACTGATCCAAGGCAAAGCCCAAATGGTAAAAACTTAGAGAAATTCTTGAACCAAAGCAAAAGTGAAAAGGAAGCAGCTCTGAGAACTGGGGATGTGCTGCTCTGGTCCCCCAGCTCTAGTTTCTAGTTCTGGGCAAACAAGGAATCTGGCAGTATGGTCACTTGTGACCCCCAGCGTGACCTCACACCAGGTACCACCTTCAAGGTGACAGTAATGGGGTTCTTGAAAACGCTGTGGTGTAGCAACTTCTTTTCACAGATGGGGAAAAGTAAGCCCAAGGTTAGAATCTGGTAAGAATGAAAACAGGTGTGGTACCCAAGCAAGACTTCGAAATGTCTATGTCTATGGCAGAACACCTTTATTCTTACTTAAAATGACTTTGAAATCTAGAGAATCTGCTTTAACTACTAGAGGTAACTATTAAAGGTATGAAGCTATTTTTTAAGCAAGTCTATAGGTTGCTTTTCGGGTTTCAAAATCTATGTTGAGCAACATAAATCAATTCATATAACAAAAAAAGGAAACAGGCTAGCTGCAGAAGGATGAAATCTTTATAGTTCCCATTAAAGATAAAAGAATCACAAAAGGTGGGGCGAAGAGGGGGAATTAGGTCATTAGAATTAGTACCTGAGTTCTCTTGACTTCTTTCTTTATATCTTCAGACATCAAAGCAAAAGCTGAAAGAAAAAAAGGAACATTTTCTCCATTAAAATTAGCAATTTAGGTTCATTTGCACATTCAGTCGTTTTGCTTATAATGAGGAAAAAAGATACTTTAACAAGACACATTTTGCTCATTTCTAAGCAGCTGCATCGCTGCAAACTACTAATGCTAGTTTTCTTCGTCTCTACCCCAAAATTATTCATCAGTGTAAAGTCAACATGCTTTGGCTACCAAGCAAAAGAAATACCACATCAAAAAATTGAATATCTGTGTATCCCATATGTGTCTATATATAAACCACACACACACACACACACACACACAAAGATGTATTTAAAATGTTTCTTTGAAACTTTGATTCTGATACTTTCTTAACCAAGAGAAAATGCCCAAGAATCCAGAAGGAAGTACCAATTTCCACCCTCGCCATCACTGCCAAAGCCTGGCAAGGCAACAGGACTAAATTTGGAGCAAGCTTTTTCTTAGGCACTGAGAGGTTATTAGCAGCGAGGTACAGACCCTGCTGATTGTAGGATAATTGCGAGAATTTACAAAACTCTACTGAAGTGACAGGCAGGAAACCAAGGAGAATTAATATCCTCCTCATTCAGAACGATTTAATGTTTTGAGTCAGAGCCCATAAATAGACAAAGATTTCCCCACAGGCACATTTAGGCTCAACATTAAAAATAATAAAAACAACGTTATTATACATAGCTATGTTAGGTAGAAATATTACAGGCACTCAGACAGGGCTGGGCCAACGCAGAAAACAACTGTGGCTGGAGGCACAGTCACTGAAGGCCAGGCTTTGAGAGAAAAGGAACCACTCACCCATACGCTTCTCAAGATGAACAGCAGTGACTGATATTATTTATAAGTAGGCATCTGTCACCTTGGGGTGGAGGACCAAATCTCCTTACCCGCCCCTTCCAGGAAAGGCCTTGTCTGCCTCTTGTGCTTGCTACCTGACTTGTTTCCCTGTTTGATCCCCATTTAATCAGCATCACCCAAGCAACTACACTTATTGTATACTTCGCAGTGGACCACAGTTTTGTCCCACCTCACACCCACCCTAGGATTTGCCATGGGGCCAATGTTACCTAGGCGACTACACTTGTAATCTTATTGAGTGGTTATAGCTCTGTCTCACCTTCAGCTTGCCTTAACACGTGGCTTTGCTCAACAAAACACCCTTAAGAAGTGGGGTTGGTGGGCAACCCACTTTCCGGGGCCTCTTCCATCCCTCTCAGACAGAAGCTTTCTTTCTCAATAAATTCTTCCTACTCTTAACCTCCGTTGTTGCTAGAATTCATTCCTGGATTTTTTTGTTGTTGTTGTTTTTTCTCAGATACCGGAAATCAAACTCACGACCTCGCACTTGCCAGGCAGGCGCTGTGCCGCTGAGCTAAATCCCCAGCCCTCATTCCTGGATTTTAAAGAACACAAACAGCGTTTCGGACATCTAGCAGGTTGGGAGTTTCATTCCCTTTTATCATTGTGACAGAAACTTTGAAAATACAAAGCAAAATAAGCCAAACAGGAAGGTTAATAAACAAACCTGAACTATACAGTACATTTCTCCTGAAGAGCCGAGAGGAAAGCACTGCAAAGGGTTCCCTTTCTGCAGTTAGCACTCCCAGAAGTAAATGGCCGCTGCCCTCAAGCAGAAGTGCACTGAAAGGACTGGAGAGGCCACAGGCAGCCAGAGTGGAGTTCAAGGAGCGTCAGTGTGGGGCCTCCTGAGGCACAGAGCAGACTCAACAGAGACGCAGGAAATAACTCTGCCTATCTGGATCCCTCCTGTCCAATCCCGTCCCGTGCAGTGCCCAGATCCACTGCTTCAAATTCTCCACTAACATCTGCTCAAGGGAAATAATCTAAAACATATTAACAGAAAATGCAAATGACTAACATGGTTAAATCGTTTCCATTTCCAAAACGATATTTCAAAAGGCAGGGCGAAATTGAAATGTAAGCTAAATGAACCTAAACCTGCGGCATTCTGGTAAGTGCAGATGGAGAGAGACCTCCCTGAGACCACCTCATCTAAAACAGTAAACCCCAGCTCCACCGCCTCCTATCCCCTCACTCTGCTTTACTTTTTTTGTTTGTTTGTTTGTTTTTTTGTTTTTTTCTCCGGTACCGGGAACCTAACTCATGATCTTGCACTTGCCAGGCAGGCGCTTTTGCCGCTGAGCTAAATCCCCAGCCCCTCACTCTGCTTTACTTTCATCACACAACTTATCACCAGCTGACAGATGTGCTTTTGTCTGTTGTTTATCTTACACTTTAATCAATCTCCATAAGGGCAGAAGTATAATTTTTATTCCTGTTTACCTTATACACCAAGTACATAGCCAGCGCACGGGAGTTCAATACTGATTGAGTGAATAAATCCAACTCTTCTGGCCATCCTAGGGTCACACAGAGCTGAAGGGATTTCTATCGCTGGACAGCACCAGCCAGCAGAATGAAGAAGGTCAGTGCCTCTGCCAAACTGTTTTCACTGGGGTCTCATTCATGTTCTCATTTTCTACACACACAGAAAAAGCAAAGCCCAAATCATCAAGTTCTAAGAAGAAAAGAGAAATTTAACCCCAAACACCATTTTTATTCTTTGGGCATGTATATTTTGGTTTTCTTTTATTTCATTTACTTCTAACATAATATGTACATTTAAAATCTTAAAGAAGATATCAAAAACATAGTTATTTAATAAACATCAGGAGCTAGGGATATGGCTCAGTGGTAGAATGCACGCTTAGCATGTTCAAGGCCCTGGGATCAATCATGAGCATCAAAGTTAAATGAATAAATAACAAACATCATACAGGGAAATATGTTAATATCGCTTAGCCCCACAGAATCTCAGAAAACAAATTACCCACAGAACTTCAGAAAACAAGTTACTGAGAATTTGTGGGATATTAAATCCCACAAGACTAATCCATGAGTGTGATTTTAAAAAAATCTCCCTCTCTTATCCAAATGAATTCCTATTCCAAACACAGGCAAAGATCTCTGGATTAGAATTTCTTCTTTTATTAAGTAAAATTACTTTCTCAATCTAACAGCTTCAATGACATGATCTGACAACTCGTGTTGATTTTTACCTTACCTGTTTTCAATGCCAGATCGCCATGGCCTATAGGCCCGTTTCTACACAAAAGGCCGGGGAGAAAGGGGTCTATTCTACAGTGAGTCTGAAAATTACTGCATCACCTTTCCTAAGAAAAAAACTAATATTATTTGACCAGTATTTAAGGTAATAACCACATATTAGGAAGATACTGCCAATAAATCAAACAAATTCTACCAAACCTGTTTACTGAAATCAAGACACCATTCCTTCACTCAGACAAGGCTCAACTGAGCTGAAGTTAAATTGGATTCTAGCTCCATCCAAAAATACACAGATCTAGAATTTTAAAAAATCCTTTAAAACAAAAAAAGCCTGACATTTCTTTCCCATCACTCTGCTGTGAAATTAAAAACTCCCTTTTCTCGTGACAGATATAAATTATATAACATGGCCAGCAAAGGCCTAAGGAATGGATCAGGTGCTTTTAGTGGTAAGGATAAATCAGACGGCAAAATAATTGCCATTAAAAGAATATTTTCTTTTAAAGTACCACTTGGTTTTATCTTTACGTTTCCAAACCTAAATCAAACAAAAGAAACCACCAAGAAACCAAACATATTGTAAAAACACAGAATACACTGATAAATCTAATCTTGAAATAATGAATCATTTGCAGAATTCCTATGAACCCATCTCAGTTTCATGGGAGTGAGGAAGAAAAAACGCAAACAGATGAGGAAAGTGAGAAAAATTAGCAAGTGAGATAGGAAACTGCTAGTTCCCTTCACCAGTTCTAACAAGACTTCATTTTGTATCGCCTAAGATCAGTTATAGATAGCAAAGTGTGAGCATCTTCAAATTTTTTACTTTTTTCCTTAAATTATTTCTAAATATAAATGTTTCCATTTTCATAAAGTCGAAAGATAGGTCATTGTACTTGCTTTTTTTTTTTTTTTTTCCTTTTTTACAATTGTCTATATTCTGAAGGAATACAAATTTAGGCTATGTTAATTAAGTGAGCAAGGTGGGATATATAATATGTAGAGAAGCTATATAAATCGCAGGATAACATTGTGAAGTTCGGGCACCAGAAATGGTACTATATCTATACATAACTCTCATTCTATAAGTTGTCTCAAGGACTGAATAGTTAGCTTCATGTTTGCATGAAATGTCCGATATTTTTAATGTGCCACAATGGGCTTCATTTTTCTTTATTATTAAAATCTGGGGATGGGGATTTAGCTCAGCGGCAAAAGCGCCTGCCTGGCAAGCGCAAGGTCGTGAGTTTGGTTCCCGGTACCGGAGAAAAAACAAAAAAAATTTAAAAATAAAAAAATAAAATAAAATAAAATCTGCCAATTGGTTTTTTTAAAATAAAGTATACACTGTATAGGTAATATCATGAACCTAGGTTAACGAGCAAGGGGAAAAAAGGCAGAAAAGAACCCCAACTCATCCCCCCGCCAACATCACCAAAAGAACACACAGCACTGACCACCTGGTGCTCAGTAGCTGCTGTTTGGGTTCCCTGCTAATTCCCGTATTCACTAAGGGAAAACATTCTTGAAGCCTTAGTGTTAGTGTCTTAATGTACAGTTGGAGAAATGTTCCAAGGTAAAGTTTGCTTTTATATGCCAAACTGCTGCTTAAAGTAATTTTCTCTTTTCTGTTTTCAACATGAATTCTGGCAAATGAAGACTAGAAACTATATTTAAAGTGCAAATCAGGAGAGGCAATAGAAATTAGACCCTTTGCACAACAACTTTAAATAATTTAAGCTGATGAATGTGTTAGCACACCTATACAGAGAGATAAATCAAGATTTTTACAACAAACCTGGGACAGAGATTTATAGGCTACCCTCGGCCCCAGAGTGCAAGGAAAAGGAGTTAATCACAATGCACTTAAGCAACACTAACTACTCAACTATCTTTTCCAGTTTCTGTGAAGGGGCAAGTGACCCCTGTCTCAAAGCAGGAAAGATAACTGTAGCTCTTAATTCCTGTCTTGATTCTGTTCCTCGTCTCTTAACTTGTCTTCCCAAGCTCTGAGGAATATCTCTCATAGACACCAAATGAAATCCAAAACAAGGCACCAAATGACCCCACCTCAGAGGGGTGCAGCAGGGTAAATGAGATGATACATGAAGCCCTTAGTCACCAGCGGGGCACACGTAAAAGCTGAGGCATCAGCTGGGGTCCTGCTGACGACCAGGATAATAGGGACTTGGTGGAGGGTAAAACCCAGCGCAGCAGCTCTGCCACCCAGGCTAAAACTCACCGGGACACACCCTGGATGCCGGCCGTGAGTACCTTGCCTGGTTCAGGCTCCTTCCAAGGTGC